CTCCCTCTGCTGGAGCCTACAGTGAACAGCTACAAATGGAATTTAGAGAGTTGGCCCTTCAAGGGGGGCCTGTGTTTCTAGCCCTCTCTCCCTGCGGGACAGAACCCCTGCTGCTTTTCACGGCCAGATTTCCCTGGGCACCTTTCCCGTTTCTGTTACTCTGGGCTTAGGCACCCAGCTTGGGGTTTAGACCCCAGACCTCTAAGGGGAACCCCCCTCCCCCAGCTAAGATATCCCTCCAGAACTTCAGCTGCTGCCCGTGGGAGCCTAGCCATCCCTCTCATGCCTCCACACTTCCCACCCATCTCCATGTGGCCTCTGCTTTACATTCTTGGTGATACGGCTTCTCTCCGGCTAGTCTTCAGTTGGTTATTTAGGATGATTTTTCTATATTTTAGTTGTAATTGGTCCTGGGAGAGTGTCAGCATAGCTTCCACTTAATCCTCCACCATCTTGGAATCCCTAGACTACTTGAGTTTTTTAAAATCATGTGCACATATTTCCTTAATTTAAGAATTTGAAAGTAACAACTAGAACAAACCCAAGAATCCCCAGACTGGCAGCCCCTGGGATGTCCGCAGGTCCTTCTTTGCTCAGCACTTTCTTTGCAGAGCAAATAAAATGTGTGCGGCTGCTCCACCAAGGCCTGTGTGGAGGCCCACCAGCCCCTCACCCCGTGCCTCGGAGACCGCTGGGGTGAGGGTGGTGCACCCTTTCAGACCGGAACCTCCTCTGCCAATTGCTCCTCTACAAGCGCTGGCTTTTCCTCCGCTGGCCGGCCCCCATCTTTCATTTCCTCAAAGCAGCACTAGGGCACGTTGTTGCTTATCGCTATTTTTTCTCCAGGAGACCTAGGGTCAGACACAACTTCTAATTCAATAGTCAGATGTCCCTGTGCCCAGACCATCATGCCGCCGGTCCACGGGCGTGGCTCACCTGCTGCGGCCCTCGGTGGGGGCCCTCCGTGGGCTGGAACCGGGGCATGGGCCTGCTCCCCTCCGCAGCATGCCTGGGTGTGGAGGAGTCAGTCCTGGCTGCATATGAGAAGCACCTGAGGAGGCTGGGAGGGGGAGGGCGGGAGCGGGGTTGGTGCGGGGAGCTAAAAGAGGATGGGGGCGGGGGCGGTGTCATTGGAGGGAAAAACAGCGACTCTGTAATACTTTCAACAATACAACTAAGAAGAAAAAATGCACCTGAGAGCCGAAGTACCCGCAAGGCCGCCCCGCCCCCAAGTCCTGTTCCTAATGTATTCCGTCCAGGGAGAGGCAGCTGTGTGCGCTAGGAACATCCCAGCTGATTCCAATGTGTAGCCGAAGGAGAACGCGGGCTCTGCGCTCTGCAGGTGCCAGGAAGCAAGCCCCACATTCCTGTATATATTTTACTGTGCAGATAGTTGGACTTTTTGTTTTTCCCTCTTTTTCCAGACCATGCAGCCCCTCAGACTGCAGCCTGACTGTAAAAGAACACTCTCTCCCTTTCTTCTTTGTGCACGTACACATAGGCAGGCCTGCAAGACGCGGACCAGGCCACATGTATTGTTCTGCATTGTGCTTCTATCACTTGACTTCCCTTTATGGCTGCAATAAAGACCTATTCAAGGACCACATAATATTGCATTGTTAAGCAGACACCATAAAGTGCTTAACCATATTTTCCTATTGATGTCATTTGGGGTTTTTTCCTAATATTTTGCTATTGCTAATTATGCTGCAGTGAACATTTCACGTGGGTGTAAATTCCTCAGAAGTTGTGCAAATATTTCCAAAGTGCAATCACCAAGGTTAAAGGATGTGTAGATCAAAAATTTTTACAGTGTTGCAAAAATGCTCTCCATTTAAATGGCACAGCAGTTCACTCTCCCACCAAGAGTTTGTTGAAGTATCTCCTTTCCCATACTCTCACCAACATTCTTATAGTCAATCTTTTTACTATATGCTAATCTGCTAATCTTGCATTGTTTCAGTTTGCATTTCTCTAATTACTAGCGAAGTTAAGCATCTTTTTGTTAGTACAGTGGGGCCTTGACTTACGAGTTTAATTCATTCCGAGACCGAGCTCGTTAAGGAGCTCGTTAACTCAAATTACTCTGTCAACTCAATGCAAAAAATCAGCCGAGAGACAGCTGGTATCTCAAAAACTCGTTAGTCGGGACACTTGTAAGTCAAGGCCCCACTGTACTCTGTGTTTCTTCTGTGAATGGCTGGTTAATAGATTTTTGATGACTGGAAGATGCAGTGTACTCCCCCATATTCCTCTCCCTCTTTTTCCTTATTATAATAGATCTGTAATATTATCCCATCAATTCTTGACTTATTCAAAAGAATGGAGGGAAGCAGAGTATGCATAATTCAAAACTTGAGAAAAGCACGGTGCCATTTATATTAAGATTTTAAATGTTTGCTAGAGTGAAGAAACCTTTCTTACAAGTCCCTGGCAGACTACTCCTGACATTACATTGGCCCCAATGGAATCGTCCCATGCCCTCTGCTGGGAAAGAGGCAGTGGCAGGACCATGAAATTCCCCTTATTGATTTGATCTGCTCTGGGGTCAGAGAGAGACCTGGCTACCTCTGAAGCATGCCCAACACCTAACAAAACTGAGGAAGGAGGAGGGCAGCGGCTATTTCCACTCAACAGTGAGTGATGATCAACAGTGTGTGCCACCGCCACATGTATTTTTAAGGATTCATAAGGTGTATCTTTAAGATCCAATCTTAAATTAATATGTAAACCATCCAATTAAACATATAAAAATAGCAACTTTGAAGTTTGCAACCTGGGAACTTAGCATTACAAAGGAAGGGCAGTGCTATGTCTTGTTATTTTTAAAATTTTTTTATTGATTTTAGAGAGAGAGGAAAGGAAAGGGAGAGAGAGAGAGAGAGGAAAACATTGATGGGTTGCCTCCCACGTGCACCCTGACTGGAGATCGGACCCACAACCTGGGCATGTGCCCTGAGCGGGAATGGAACCGGTGACCTTTTAGTGTACAGGACGACACCCAACCAACTGAGCTACACCGGCCAGGGCTATCTGATCATTTTAAAGTTAGGAGTATTAACTTTGAGTAAATAACTCAGCTTTAAAAGGAAAAAGCTGCGAAGAATGAGCATTCATAATCAATTCCCAAGCTCGAGAGAGATCACAACTGACAATTAGGGCCTGTCCCCATCAGACACTCAAAGCAATATGACAAGAAGAAGGGCGATGAGGTGATCAGCCTTGGAGATCTCACAGGACCGTGGCTTTCGTCCTTGGCTCAATCGCAGAGCAGAGGGGGAGAAACCACCCTGTTCACAGTCCCCCTCCTCAATTTGGATCCCCAAGACGGAGGGTATCTGGTGTGGGAGTAGAGACAGAGGGGCAGGGAACCCCTTGATGACATTTTCCAAGCTGGTACTCTAAACAAGATTCTTAGCGTAACACGTTGAGAACATTATTTCTAAGAACTTGGAGGTGTAGCTGTACGCCTGCTTTGCCTACTTCCTGAGATTCTGGCATAATATCGTTATACCCGTGTGGGTGTGAGATGTCAGTGGGAGGCTCCCTGAAGCACTCATGCTCAACCCTCCTTTATCCCCCTGCCTTGCCCCCCAAAGACACACAGATACCAATATCCCAGGTTACCTCCCAGGGCCTCACCCCAGGTGACTTACTCCTGGTGCTCCAACCTGGTTTGTCTGTTCCACAGACTTAGTTGCTGACCAAGGCTCTAGTTAGAACCAAGTGTGCAGGAATGTTCTTCATTCCAGGAAGTCAGTCCCAATTTATTCACATGCTTGGAAATGTGTCAAAATCTTTCTGGAGCTGAAGGAGCCAAGAATGAATGGCTGTTAAACCACTCGCACCCTCCCAGTTTGGGCTCGTCACCGAGGTGTTTCCCTCCTTAGCTCGTCATAGCAGGCAGATGGAGCCCTGTGACATCTGGAATCTGTCCTTGTCATCACGAGGCAGCGTTGGAGGCCAGGACAGAGACTTGAAAAGGAGGAATGGCTTTAGTTTGGTACGCCAGGTCACAAAGACCTGGGCGTTTTTTAAGGATGTCAGAATGAACTTTTCTGGAACTCCAACTCCCCCATATGCCCTCACCCTCATATCTTTATATCTGGGTGTTTGGTATGAGGCTCACTGGGTGCCCTGGATGGGCAGGCGTTGGCCACAGACATAAACCTAGGAGGGCCATCTTGGCTCCCCAATTATGCCCCCTCTGCTCCCACCTGTCCAGGAGCTTCTCCTCCTAAGGTGTGAAATATAAGGACAGTAGGTAGCGTAGGATTGTTGAGAAGATCAAGGTCACTGAGATAAAGTGTAGAAGGCCTTAGCGCAGTGGTTCTCAACCTTCTGGCCCTTTAAATACAGTTCCTCATGTTGTGACCCAACCATAAAATCATTTTTGTTGCTACTTCATAACTGTAATGTTGCTACTGTTATGAATCCTAATGTAAATATCTGATATGCAGGATGGTCTTAGGCGACCCCTGTGAAAGGGTCATTCGACCGCCAAAGGGGTCTCGACCCACAGGTTGAGAACCGCTGCCTTAGCGCAATGCCTGGAACACGCAGAGCACCCATAAATAGTAGCAATCGCTAGTATTGGTTTAGTAAATGATGCGGACTTAGCAATTAGTTTGTCCACCAAATTTGCATAATAGCATACATTTTTTAAATAGAATACAGCTATATTTATTTACAGAATCCTCTAATTCATTGCCTTACTCTTCAAACTGGCCCCGTTCCCTATTAAATTCAAATGAGTGCAGTTTTTGATATACAGGTAGCCTAATGGGGCTCAGAGCCAGGCCATGCCTCCCCCTCCCCACCTCCCTGCATGCTATGCGGTCAGTGCAGTGTGGCTGACGTGACCAGCAAGTGACCACAGACGTCTCCCCGTCCTAACCCCGGGATCCTGTGTCTGCAGTCACTTCTTGTTGTTCGGGAAGTTGTAGCACATGTCACGCACTTGAGTCCACTTCCATTGGACAGCCTGTCTTTCCCCACAGGCTGTGAAGCGGTTCTTGAAGCAAGAGTGCAAGTGCCACGGCGTGAGTGGTTCCTGTACGCTGAGGACGTGCTGGCTGGCCATGGCCGACTTCAGGAGGACGGGCGACTACCTGTGGAAGAAGTACAACGGGGCCATACAGGTGGTCATGAACCAGGACGGCACTGGCTTCACTGTGGCCAACAAGAGGTTTAAGAAGCCAACGAAAAATGACCTCGTGTATTTTGAGAATTCTCCAGACTACTGTATCAGGGACCGAGATGCAGGTAAGTTGAAAACACTTTACTCACTGCACGTAATTCTCCAGCGGTCAGCACTGCCCAGGTAAAGGCAGTTCTGTGTTTTCAGCTCCCCAGTCCTGTGAGTGCAGCTGCTGCCTTCAGGCGCAAAGCTCATGTTCTTATCATTCATATTTAAAGTGCACAAAGAGCTCTCCTAAGATGCTGGAGAAATGGGAACCCAACAAGAATGTTTGTGGCAAAAAGTCAAAATACGGCCCCAGCCGGTTTGGCTCAGTAGATAGAGCGTCGGCCTGCAGACTGAAGGGTCCCAGGTTTGATTCTGGTCAAGGGCACATGCCCAGATTTCAGGCTTGATCCCCAGTGGAAGGCATGCAGGAGGCAGCTGATCAATGATTCTCTCTCATCATTGATTATTCCCTCTCTCCCTCTCCCTCTCCCTCTCCCTCTTCTTTCCTCTCTGAAATCAATAAAATACACCTTTAAAAAAAGTCAAAATATGCAGATTAGGAAAATTCTCCCGCCTGGACAAAACTGGAGTTGGTGGGTTAACTCGCACTATGTATAGCATCCCAGCGCCTTTCCTGTGGTTCTGCAGCCGAGAGGAGGATAGCTTTGCAGGGTATGTGCCCCTTTGCAGATCTGACCTCTGGGTCCCAGGGCTTTCAAGTTTGCCCGTTTTTGAAATCTGCCGTACTTCACACTCCTTTGCGCTTTCCACTATGCTCAGAAGTTGCCAAATACTAGAGAAGGAATTCAGCCCACTGGCTTGGCTGCCGGTGGGCGATGGATGAGGGCTGTGTAAGAGGCACTTCGGCTACTGAGGCCACACCTCCCCTTGCACACAGCACCTTTTCTCTTTGAACCCACTCAGGAGCAGCTCCGTCAGCCTCAGCACAGCTGCCCCCTGGTGTGTTTTGCAAGTGCGCTGTGCCCCCTTCTCACCCCTCCTGGTTCGCACTGAACTCCAGGCTTAGCACAGTCTTTGCAAAGAATCTGGTACAAAATAAGAACGAGTACAAGTGGACAGGAGGTGATAGGGAGCCCACAGCCAACTTTGGCTCAAGCCAACTTCTGAGACTTAGTAGGGAGCCCATGATCAGAAAAACATCCTTGAATGTCAATTCCCAGTTTGTTTTTCATTCCAAAGTAATTGCAAAGGAGCCAGTAAAACAGTGCAGACGGCCCCCAGCTCCTAACCTTAGACTGACCAAGAAGCACGATGACCAGGAATGTCACCAGAAGTCCAGGCCTCTTCTTTGACCTGAGAGGTTGCATTTCCTTCCTGGTTGATGAGCTAGCTCTTTGCAGCACTTGAGCAGGTTCGTACATGCAGTCTCTGAATTAATAGCTACCAAGCGGAGGGCCCGCTGCTGTGCCCTGCAGCATTCCTGACGAGCTTGGGGACCTCTAGCAAGTCTTCCTTCCTGCTGCGCCACAGTTTGAGCAGAATCCCCATGAAACCTGTGCTTCGATACAGATTGTCCCAGAGGTTGTGTCCTTCTCTGCTGTTAAGTAGCTGCTTAATCTCAGGGTCCTGGGACAGACCCTGGGGATAATGCTATTGGGATCATTTTAGGAACTACCCATTGACTCCTGTGTGCCAGGTACTGCACATGCGGTTTTATTTCATCCTTTGAGCCACCCTATGACATCAGTGCATTGGAACTGGTTTCCTTAAAAAAAAAAAAGAGAGAGAAGAAGGAGAAGGAAGAAGGAAGAAGGAAGAAGAGGGTGGCTTCTGGTTGATCAACCAAGATCCAAATTCTCAGCTTATGTTTTAGTCAGATAAGCAGCCCTAGATGTCATCGTTCCCATTGTACACGTGAGAAAAGGGAAGGACCAGCTCAGGACCTCATTGGTCTTGGAGGGAAGAGATGTCTGGCTGGCTGACTCCATGGCCTGTGCTCTTGACCCTGACACTATAACTTGTCCCTACCTGTCTCCGAGGGCGTGCACGTGAACAGGCCTTGTGAAGCAAAAACCTCATTTCAAAAGTAAGAGGGCCTGCTTCCCTGGGACTTCGTTTCTATTTTGTTTTGTTTTGTTTTGATTGAAGCAGTTTGCACAGTAAAGTAAACAGTTATGCTTGATGATCGCTTAACTGCCTCCTGGATATTCAGTGACAAAGACCTTACTTTCTCTTCCTCACGAGGAGATTGGGCAACTTCAGGACACTGTTATTCTTGCACACGTTGCTTTTCCTACTCCCTATATTAGAACACAGTTCTGTTTCTTGATCCTAAAATAACAAACACATCCGCAGCACCTGCCATGTGTTAGGGCTTGGTCTACATTCTCTCCTTGACTCTCATGGGAAGTCTATAAGGTGGGTATGTTATTATCCCATTTTATGGGAGAGGAGACTGAGGCTCTGACAGACAGGTTATGGATTTTGCCCAAGGACCCTCAGTTAGTAAGAGGCAGGCAGAGCAGGGATCTGCACCTGAATTCATTCATTCTTGTAATCACGTTACTCTGCCTCCAGATGTGCCAGCCACAGAGCACACTGCCGCAGTGCGACTTTCTGAGGGAAGCGATATAACTTATTCATTCTCTTCATTTACTTCTCCCTAAACTCATTTTAGCTTAGCTGACTTGCAAATATGTGAACGGTTGGTGTTGATTAATCAGGAGCCACCCTGTTACAGTTGTTTTTTTTTAAGTAGTTAGTTCCAATGTACTAGATCAGAATTCCAGTAACATTCCTAGATTATTCATAAGTTACCTGAACTGTACTTAATGCCTTTTGAGCTGAACCTAAGAAAATGCCAAAGTCATCCATGCAAACCTTGCAATATTTATTTGTAATTCTCTTTTTTCCTTTTTTTAAAAATATATTTTTTATTGGTTTCAGAGAGGAAGGGAGAGGGTGAGAGAGATGGAAACATCAATGATGAGAGCGAATCATTGATTGGCTGCCTCCTGCACACCCCCTACTGGGGATTGAGCCTGCAACCCAGGCATGTGTCCTTGACCAGAATCCAACCCAGGACCCTTCAGTCCGCAGGCCAATGTTCTATCCATTGAACCAAACAGGCTAGGGCTGTAATTCTCTTGATTGTAATTCTCGATGATTGCTTTGGTGATTCGGGGTGTTTGTTCATGCAAGCAAAAGTGCAGATCAATGGCAGAGTATACTTTTCATATTTGGAGTCATGTACAAATAGCCACATGGATAAGATGCAGATTTCCCCCAAGAAAGCTTGCTTCAACCCACACAGCTGCTAAAGGATTTATTTGCACCTTTCTGTGTGATCTGTGGCCTTCCAAAGACGAGGCTTTATCCTCGCCATAGTGTGCATCCGAGCAAGTCAGTCAAAACAGTCATGGAAGTGTGTGGTTCAGGATCATCCTGGAGTGGCTCCTAACTTCTCTTTGTAGAGGCAGGGAGCTGTGACAGAATCTGAGACCTGGGAGAAGGGGGATTCTGTCATCTAACTCACATTGGCATTCCTCCTCTAAGCTCTGCTCTCTCATCATGAAAGAAGGTTTGGGGTCAAGGCTAAGATCCTTGCAGCATGCAGGTGTCACAGAGTGAGCACACCCCCAAGGGACCCTTCCCTTCACTAGACTCTTACTACGTTAGGGACAGCCTGTTTTCTGGTAAAGGAAACTCCCACATTAGTCAGAAGTTTGCAGTAAACTTTAAATCAATCAAAGTATATATAGACTTAAAAATTTTTTTTTCTCTATTAAAATTAACATACCCTTCCCCTAGAGTACATCGCTTACCACCCAATCTGTTTGCTTGTGGTCATATTGTTTTATTTTGCTCTTTGTAATATCAGGCACATTTAATATTCAACTTATCGGGCACCTTCTACTCGCCAGCACAGGGAACGCAATGGTGGTGAGCAGGTTGAAGATGGTCAAGTAATAGATACTTGGAACTGAATGCCTTTCCTCTTGTTGGTTAGCACCTGCTTCCTGTTCAAATTAACTCATGAGTTGCATGGAGTGAGTCGGCTTGTTTTGTCATTGTGGCTTGTGGAGTGGATCAAGTCCACAGCCTAGTCCACTATTTTCCAAAGTGAGGTCCTTTCCAGAGATAATATTGAACTAAAATCTCAGGACATTGTTCCTGACGTCCTGTAAGCATTTCGAACTTAAACACATCAAGTAATGTAGGTAATCCATGACTCCTGATTTTTCCATAATTATTAGGTAAGAAGAAATCCAGGGAGACATGATTGGGGGGCGGGGGAGGGAATTCTTTTATTTGTAAGACAAAGAAGGAAAAGGTTTTTTATTTGAGGATCTCTAGATAAATGTCACCCCCCCAAAAATAGCCCCCACCCTGGCTTGCCTAGTGTCAGAGGGTGTTCTTTCACCTCCAGACCCTGCATTTTCAGAAACCCTCTTTACTGTGAGTAAGCACGTTAAAATGGTTTCAGCCTTCACAGCTTTCCCTGGAATCAGTTTGACAGAGGTTATCAAGTCAGCCTTGCAGTGAAGTCCTGACATAATGATACCAGGACAAATTTCGACAAGAATTGCAGAAGGGTGAGTCAAGACCCTGAGGTATTCCTGGGTGCAGAAAGATGCAGACCCCAGGTGGGGAAGGGAGGGAGATGCTGGGTGGATTCCTACTCAGAGTCAGACCCTGAGCTACATACCTTGTGCGAATTTTCTCTGAATCTTCATGGCAGTTCTCTCTATTTATAGAAAAGGAAACGGAGGCTCTGAAAAGCCACGTAACTTGCCCAAGAGTTTGTGGCCTGTAATGGTAAACAAAACGAATTAATAAAAATCAAAACAGAAATCCATACTCCCCTTACTCCACCACTTTACTTCCTGAATTTGGGGGTGGGGGGGAGGGGAGATCTGTCTAATAAAGAGACAGCATGAGGACCCGGGGACATCATGGAATGAGGTGCCTACAAAGGCGGGGGCGGGGGGGCGTGGAAAGTGGTTGGGCTCAACTTCACCCACACTTGGCCCAGGTTGCCTTGACTGCCCTGTCAGTTACAAGCCCTTCAAGTTTTGAAGAATGGTAATACTGTTAGTAATTCCTAAGAAATGAT